TTTTGGCGCGTGAGGGCGAAATTGCCGACGCCCATGCGAGCAAGACGCTGGTGCGCGGCGACTTGGTGTGCCTTATATAGGCGGTGCAGTACCAGAGCACTGACACCAGTGCTTGCGAGCTGCAGCCCGCTTGTTGTCACTGGAGTCAGGGTGCCATCCGCACTTGCAGTGCCACAATTCACCAGGCTGGTAAGGCTGGAAGGCCAGGTCATCAGGCAAGTCCCCACAAGCAGCGTCACCATGGGAAAGCAGGGCACGCGGGTCCGCTTTGCTAGGACTGGCCCTACTAGCAGCGTCGGCAGTTGAGGCGGCAGGACCCTGTCTGGCAGAACGCTTACCCCAGAGTCCACGGCGCCTTTCGGGAAAGGGAGTGTCAGAACAGCACGCTTCGGGAGTAACCGCACCAGTGCTAGCAGGACGCGGGGTGGCCGGAGCCTGCGAGGCAGAAGCGGGAGTGCAGGCGAAGGCCAAGGAGGGCTGCAGGGTTGACTGCTCCAGAAGGGTCGGCAGGCTGGGAGTCTCTCTGTGACGAGGCCGGAGAGGTTGAGGAAACCGAGGCAGTCTCAAGACCAAGCATGCTGCGAGCCCAAGCAGAGTCACGGGCCTCGAGGGACCGGCACCGGTAAGGTCAACCACAGCGGAGTCAAGGGTGACTTTCTTGACAACGGCAGCATGGGAAGTGAGCAAGTGCTCCGCGGCCCGAGTGTCAGAAGGCGAAAGAAGGCGGTAGTGCTGGCTTTGAAGACAAAGCCACACGCACGGGGGCTGACATTTCACAGGAGGTTTATAGGCGCGTTGCAAAGCAAAAACAAGCACCAGGAAGCCGCTTTAGGGTCAAGCATCCACACACGGAGCTGTATGCGCAGAGCATGGCCGAGCGCATATAGCGAACAAGTGTCGGCGTAAGTGCCAGAAGTAGCGACGGCGCTGGCGTCAGCAGGCTTACCAAGAAGGGGGTTCTTGAAGACGTCAGGGCGGGCACGCATCCACTTCGAGGCCTCGACACGCAAAAAGCCTTGCAGAGGGCCGCCCGGCGCGAGGTCTTTCTTGGACGCCCCAGTCTTGGCGTAGCCAGCGAGGGTGGTGGCGACACAGCAAAAGGCACAGTCCCCCGAGCCGCCGCACTCACTGACGGTGAAGAGATCAGACCCCGGCATTGAAGGGCGAGTGCGAGCGGCCTTGGCTCGCGGTTCTGGCGCAAAAGGGCTGCTAGAGCGGGTTTTGTCGGGCGAGTTCTTTGCAGCAGCGTCGGAAGAGTCAACCTGCATAGCCTCAGCAGGGGCAGCAGCTGGCGCAGCAACACTGGTGGCGGCCTCGTCGGTTGCAAGTTGTTTAAGACCTGGCAGTTGACTCAGGGGCGAGGCGTTTGACAGGCTCTGAAGTCCAAGAAGACACAACAATGCCAGAGGCGAAAACAGACGGCCCAGCGAACCCGGCGGGTGGCCAAGCACGAATGCTCCAAGAGGACTTGCCAGAACGGGAAACAGCAGACACGTCAGTGAACCCACGCTCTTTGGCCCAAACCCTCGACGTCACAAGAAAGTCAAGAGGCAGGGGTAGAGGACACGCACCAGCGCGGCGCCAAGGCCGTAGACGCCTTAGAGGCAGAACCAAGGTCCTCAGGAGTTCCTCGCACACCAAGGCAAGAGTTGCCACCCGGGCGGTAAGCCAGCAGACAGCGGTCGGTGACCGCAGCAGCTGAAGCTTGCCAGTAAGCGTCGGCGGTGGTATATCGGGCTCACGCCGAATCCATTGGACCTGAAGGGAACTGGACCTCTGAGGGGCTATGGTGGCCCCGACAGGGAGCTTTGCTTGGAGAAAGGACAGCTGGGCAGCTTCCTTAGCCTTAAGGAGACAAGTAATCTCCCCGCTGTACGAAGCAACAGCAAAGGTGCGGATGACAGCCGCCCCAACGGTAGATGGGAGCAGCAAGGTAGGCAGGGCCTGGGGCCGATCGGCAGCTCGCTTATACAAATCCATGGCAGTGAACTCTTTGGCAAGAGTGAGGCGTAAGACACAGGTGGGGGCCTCAGCGTCAGTCTTTTTGTCGTCTTGCTCAGCTTTTACAGCGGAACGGGGTGTTGACCAGTGCCAAAGTTTAAAAGGTGAGCGGTTTTGGCAAAAGGAGCACCATGGTTGGACTGCACCAACACAGTCTTGTCACCGTCGGGGCTCACAAAGTCCACGCAAGTCCGCAGAAAGGCCCCGGGGGAAGCGGTCATCAAGGCCTTGACGTCGTCAAGCTGCTCCGCAGTGTGAGCCGCCACGACAGCAAGAAACTTGACACCAGCGCGCACAGTGGAAACAGTGACAACCCTCTCTTTCCAACCCTGCTGGGCAAGAGAGGCGGGCTTGGTCTGGGCGTGGGGTGCCAAGGAAGCAGACGTTTGGGCAACACGACGAGCAACGTCAGCGAAGGTAACACCGCCAGCAGGCGTGCCGTCAGAGGCCTGGTCAGCCGAGGCAGTGGCAGGGCGAGGAGGCCGAGAGGCAGGCTTTGGGGCAGGAGCAGAAGCGGCAGGAACGACTGGCTGACTAGGCCTCGCCCCAGTTTGCACTTCGAGAAGCTGCAGCAAAACGTCAACCTGTTGGGCCAGAACCTTAACAGTGGACTGCAACGTCAAGAGAGTCTTCCTCTCGTTGCGGCGGCAGCGGGTCGCGGCGCTGCCACCGGCACTACCGAAAAGGGGGTCAGCGGAGGCGGCGTCGTGCTGGAAAAGCCAAGGGCAGCATGAACACCGACGCACAGACGGACGACGACAGGGGCGCAAGCAGAACCCCAAGCCGGCGAGGAAGAAGGTAGGCCTCACAACCGCAGAGACACGGCGAGAGCCGGCACGCCGAGCAGGAGAAACATCGTAGGTCGGCACACGCGGCTGGCGAGGGCGGGGCGGGGCCGTGCGTGCTACGGCCGAGGCGCCCTGCAGCAGCAGGGAGTTGCAGCCCTCGTCCGATTCAAGCACCGAGGCAGTGTTGGCGTGAGAAGCCAGACCGGAGCAGGCGACGACACAGAGCGCACACAGGACGGGCCATGCGGGCGGAAGGAGGCACCAAAAGGACAGCGCACTAACGAGGCAACGGCAGCGGAAAAGGAGCAGAAGGAGCACAGGCCGCAGGAAGGAACCGACACCCCACCAGCAGCGTTGGGGGAGGCGACACCAGAAAGGCGCCCGTGACCAGCAGCGAGTGGCACGCTCGAGGCAAGGGCGAACACAGGAAGTGAACGCGAGGCGAGTCAAGGCAGGAAACACGACACCCACGGTAGACGGACTCAGCAGGGCCCTGAGTAAACAGGGAGTTGCAGCCTGCCGAGTCGTTGCAGGCTGAGGAAGCCAAAAGCACCAAAGGGCGTGACAAAACCTCCACCGACCAAAGGGGCGGAGCAACGCCAAACGGCCATTCAGACGTACCATTGTACCTGGCAGCGCAGGGAGTTGCACCCCACAGCGACGATGCGATAAAAGAGTCGGGTTAGCTCAGACACACCGTTGTGCAGGACGTCATCCCAGCAGAACCTGACGGTAACACGAGTGTCGAGAGGGCCGGGAGGGCACATACCACACTCACTCTCCAGTACGGACACTGCGGGACCCTGGGAAATCAGGGAGTTGCACCCTACAGCGTCGGCAGCACTGATAGACAAATCAGTAAGCTGCACAATGCGGCACAAAGCCCAAGACTGCCAGCATGAAAGCGACAGCACAGATCCTAGGGAGCACATGCCATCTGCTGCAGCTGCTGTTCTTTCGTACCGTTTGGCCCCTCATCACCGCGAGGAGGTAGAAACAGCGTGATGAGGAAACGGTTGGTAAGCATCCGAAGCTCAAATTGCGCGCATGTGAAACTTGAAGACGGAGCTCGGCCCAGAAGCCAAAATTCGAATGAGATTCATCATGGGGCACCCCATCAGTGCAAGGCACCCTCCTTGGAGTGCGGGCTTCACAAAAGTTCTGCTTTCCATCAGCCCTCGGAGTTCAGGGTTTACATCAGTGTCGATTTAAAAATCAGGAGCGCCCCATCAGTCCGAGGCTTCAGGTAGGGCTTACGAGAGTTCTGGTTTTCAGATACTTGGCGCCCCATGAGTCCAAGGCTCCATCCTCGGAGTCTTTCATGTTTGCACAAGTTTCGATTTGAAACAGTGGCACCCCAACCACACCCTCGGAGTTTAAGGTTTCTAAGCGCTCTTGTTTCGAGATAATCGGCACCCCCTCCGGGTTCAGGGGTTGTAGAGTGATTTAAGACAGTGAGTGCCCCGTCGGTCCAAGGCCCGATCCACGAAGTTCAATGTTTGCAAGAGTTCTGAGTTTAGAATTTTCGGAGCTGCATCAGTCCCAGACTCCATCCTCGGGCATAAGAGCTCTCGGGAATTCTGAGTTTCCTGATCCGGCCAGGCTCCTCGTGAGTTCATCTGTCTTCAAAGCACCATCCAAAAGAACACCCGCACCACTCCCGCACCACAACAGATCGCACGCACACAACCACGAATGAGTGCGGTATGAAGCGATGTTCTTCCAGCAAGTCTTCGCATTCCAACATTTGGATTACTCTTGAGTGACCTGAGCTCGGGGTTCATGAGAGTTCTGATGTTAAGATCAGGAATTCAGGAATACCCAATTAGTTTCTGGCTCCATCCTCAGCTCAAGGTGTATGAGGATTTTGATTTTACAATCAGGGGCGCCCCATGAGTCCAGGGTTCTGTTGAAGGCGTTCAAGCTTTAGAGGAGTTCTGCCTTTGAAGTAATGAAGCTCCATCATTATCAGATTCCATCCTCGGAGTTCAAGGTGTAGAACAGTTCTGGGTAGTCAGGGGCGCCCATAAGTCCAAGGCTCCATTTTGGGAGCTCAAGGCTTCTCAGGAGTCTGAGTTTAAACTCATTGAATTCTTCATAATAAGCGGTTTCAACTACGCCCCCTGGCATCGAGCATTTTCCGAATCGTTTTGGTCCTGGAGTCCAACATGTAAAGATGAGGACATGACATTACATTGTCTTCCCTCCTGCCTGCGCATGTGCTGGCTGGAAGCGCCCGAGCGAGCAAAACTTACAGGCATTACTGCTGTTGGCTCCCAGCGGGCCGTCCCACCAGCGTCCCAACCTGCGAGTAGTGCATGCTAACGAATACCGTCTAGAGTCTAGCATAAAACGCACCATACCAAAAAAGCAGGGCCGTTGACAGTGCATGACGAAAGCTGGACCGATCTGAACTCGAAACTGGGAACAAGGATCTACACAAAGCCACAGACTACTCATGAATCCTTGGTATGAACGCATACCCGGCAGACAAACTGAACCTACGACTGTGACAACATTTGGTGAAACGGAAACAAGAGACGGTAGACACAGTAGACACACCTATGCAACTCCGATGGCGGCGATGGTCTTGGATACGATTCATGTTTTCCTCGCCACACGTCTGATAGCATCCAAACCGCAGCAGGTGTCTGTGCCGAATAAGACTCCCTACGCCATGCTTCTCTGCACCTCAGTCTCGTGCACCTGGAAGCCTTACTCCCCCCTGCTGCCTACGGAAGTTCAAAGGACTGTAGTTCGGCCGTCTGTCAAATTCGTCTGGCCTACTATTCTGAAAGCCTCGCGACCTCAGAGCAACCGGTTTTGATCGTGCCAGAGCAGTCCAGATGATCAGGTCCGCTCTGAATTTAGCTCACACACAGTCTAGCAGACGGAGGAGGAATTCCCCGCCGAACATTGCCAAGTCACGGGCATGAAGTGCAGGGCGCAGAAGCTCCTTCCTGGTCGCTGTAGCGACCCTGCACACAATATCCTCAGCCATTGGCAAGCGTTTTGCGTCCTTTTAGGCTCCAAGAAACCCGCAGACGGATCCAGGGCACTGCAGAAAGTGTGACTGTCAGCACCTTCTGTATCACTCCAGCGGCCAGCTGGACAGGATGTGCAGGATCCGATGTCCTCGGATCAGAATGCACCCGTCAAAAAAGTCGGCTTGAAAAGCTGGAGCCACCAAGCTCATTGGAACAGCACGCGTGCATCTGCCGACTCTCAATAAGTAGCAGCCGTCAAATAAGGCTGAGGCTTTTGACGGGGAGGCGCGGCAGACAATGCTTTTTCGTATTTTGTAGCGCAGTAATGAGGGGGAACCCTGGGCCAACAAAAGACAGCGTCCAAGTGGGCAGCGTTCTCGTGCTAGAGACAGAAGGAAACTCTTCTGCTGGAATCGTCTACAAGTGGCTGGCCAGCATGCAGACGATACGACCGGAAAAAACTCATTAATAAACAATATGTCGTTTGTCGGATATGTAATTAAAAGAACAGCAGTCAGTCCTCTCCATCCCTACCTTCTTAAGGGCATTGTGGAGGCTCGGTGGAAACAACAATACCATGATTGCCATGACATTTGACAGGACCATTTGTTAATTGATTCCAGCGGCGAAGGTGACTGTGCTTGCGGCGATTGGGATTATTAAGGTTATCATGCAATTCATAAAAGTCATGATGCTGCTGTAGCACAAACGGCGGTACCTGCATGACTATGAGAGCATCATTGTTATCATCCTTGTTGTTCTTATCCGCCTGCTGGGATCTGCTAGGATGATATGCTAAGTACGTACACTGGCCATCCAAATAAATAGCAAAGAGGCGTGTTTCTGCACATCCTTGAGTTGTTGACATATTTTGACCATCTGGATCTGTTGTTTTGCCTGCGGTTGATTCTGAGGATTGCTGGCGACCAAGACAGCGAGGGTGAATGTGAGACTATCCTCCTTATACACCTTAGTATCACGTCAGCTACAATTGTCGAATGCCTCTGGCAGGGTGAAGGGCGAGCTTGCTCCCCGTCCTATCTCTTTGCATCCTCCGGGATTTGCGGGTCGTGGTCCGTAATGAAGGTGGACGGGGCCAAATGGGACCAAAAACACATTCTTTCGAGCAGAAGCACGCTTGCTCCAAAGACATTGCTCCATGTACCCGCTGGACAGCGGCTGCAGTTCTCAACTGAAGACCCACCTCAGGAAGATGTTGATCACGAGTTGAAGGAACATGCAGAAGCTGTCCTTCAAATCCACTGGCCTGGTTCTGATCTCCACCTGCCAGCCGGACAGCCGTGGCAAGCATTCTGTTGAAATTGTCCCCGGTGTGGCCCGTACCTTCATTGAAAAGTGCAAGGAGCCCGCATGAACGGCCACATGATTGGTCAAGATGAGACTTCCATGCTGGACCTGCAATTACCTGGCATTTGCTGACAGGCAGCGTTCCTGCCGGACAAAGGGCACAGACGGAGCTGTTCGTGCTTCCCCATGTATGGCTCCACCTGAGAAGCTTATGCACAGAGGATTTCATCCTGGGCATTCATGAGGAGCTTCCAAGCAACAGTCTCCGGCCTTCCAGCAGGGCAAAGCTGGCAGTCTGAGAAGGAACTCGCTGCCAGCACACCACTCCAACGCCCGTGCGGACAGTCTTGACAAGCAGCCTGCCAGGGACGAACAGAAACCACTAGAAACGCGTTTTGAGAAGCGTCATGAGGCTGTTTGGTCATGCCGCCAGCCTCAAGGACAGCACCATACTGGCTGCTCCACTTGCCTCCCAGGTCGACCCCCTTCTCCATAGGCAAGACATGACAGGACACATGCTCTCATGCTTTTTCACTGTCGAACCCGAAAGGCCTCTTGCACACGGCTCGCACACCTTGTGCAGGCCAATTCATGTGGGTGGTTGTCCCTTTTCGGGTCCCCACTATAATACGGCACCTAATATTTACGGTACCCAAAAAGGGACCTTAATTTTGACAGCCGCCCATGTGGCTCTAAGCGGCTATCCTAAACCCAAAATGAGGAACGTCGCGCGAAAGCTGCTTTGCCAAGAGTCATCTTCTTCCCCTGCACCCTCCTCGCTCCAGCAGAACGAGAACAACCAAAGCAAACAGGGCATCTCCGACTATCTCCACTAAATGCGCGAGATTGCGCGAGCATGACTGCTTCTGCAAGGCTTGTCGGGGCTGTCTATCTGCTATCGTTCCCTCTTCTCCTGGGCACTCCATCGCCCTGGCTTGCATTTGCTGCAGTTGACACTGCTCGGAGGACTCCATGTACCAGCAGGGCAGGGAGCACAGGTGCTGGTGCCTGTGCTGCTGCGGTCCATACAAGATTCCACAGCTTGTCTAAACGGCAAGATCGCACAAGACTTCCACGCACCTGGCATTAGCCCGGAGCCGGCAGGACAGCTCGGCCAACTGTGGCCTTTGCGCGCAGAGAGGCAGCTACGACATGTTGTGACTGCGGCTTTTGGCACCAGCTGATGCCAAGGATCTCAAGGCCAAGCCGGGAGCGAGCACTGCCTCACAAGATCTCACAACTTCAGACATGCGGGGGACCGGGGACGGTACCTCCTGCGCCTTCAGCAAAGCACTCGTCGAACGCAAGCTTGACCCCGACAGCCGGCAGGTTGCGACAGGTCGCGAAGCCAGTGTGAGCCAAGGCACCCGCAGCATTCGTGGCCTCTCCACCTCTCGCCGATGTGCAGCCACACCGCATGTCGCTCCATAGGGCACAAGGGCGAGCGGAGCAGTTCATCAAGCGCGATGGGTCATCAGACTAATTTTCTCATTAAATACATTATTAATTCCACTACATTACATGATAAAGTATACAAATCTTGCTCACAGACTCTTATCACAGATGCATCGTGCCTCGCTGTCTGTCGATGGCTTACAGCATCTTGCAGCTTATGCCACTCTTGCCCTGAACGGCGCACGTACTAGTTCGCGTTCACATGCATTTAACACCAGCGACGCCAGAAGCAAATCTATCAAGGCCGAGATGACTGCGCAGGATGAAAGATCATGCACCCCCCAGCCCCCTGGCAAATACAGTTTGTGTGACAGCAGAGAGTCTGGGAGTCCAGCGGCTCCAGGAATCTGCAGAAGAACAATCGTTGGCGCTTTGGCGGCCACGGCTTTGATCAAGGCCTCGCCTCTGCAAAGATTCTTCAGCTCCGGAGGCAGTGCAGGCCAGGCACGCCAGGCACGCGGCTGGCATCTCCCAGCCCCAGCGAGCTTCCTGGTCAGGATGGGTGCGAATTGCAAGCCAAGCCTCCCTTACAGTGAGGCCAGCACTGTCAGCTCCCTCTGACGCATCCTTGGGCAGCAAGGGCCAGAACAGGACCCAGCTGAGCTGGATAGGCTCTACAGTATGTGGGCCAAGTTTCTGTTCCAACCACCACCACGACGGCATCGACTGATTGAGCGAGAGAGGCTGCCTGAAGCAACTCGGCCCCGCTGTGGAAAGCCAGGACCCTCCGGGAGCTCTGGTGCAGCTCATAAGCCCGAGCCAAGGGTATGGCTCCAGCTTCAAAACTAAAGATACACTGGATGTGCCCGAGCCCCCTTGCGCATGGAACGGTACAAGGGGTGAGCGTTTAGGATGCAATATACCGTATTTAGCATGACATGTACCAAGTGTAGCAGGACACACGTACCACCTGTACCATCGCACCGTTGTGGCCCGCGTACCGTCCTGGTACCAAATGTAGCATGGCATGGCCACATACTAAATGGAGGGGAGGTCATGTCATGCCAAATTTGGTACGGTACGTTCGTAAGGCTGGAGCGGTACGATTTACACACGGTACGGTGCGGGCACGCCTCGAAGTGCCCATGTGCACCATAGGTTAGATTCTTAGATTGCCATAAATCGAGAAAGAAACTCAGCTTTAGATATGCAGCACTCCTGCCCAGTGTTGATGCAACAGTGGCCGCCACTGTTGTCCGTAGCCCTGCTGGTTTATACATCAATGTCAAGAGTCTCCGCAGGCTCAGCTCTAGCATGGGGAGGGGCGTATCCCAGCAAGACAAAGAAAACACATTCGCATGACCTTGCTGGTTGAAGCTTCGTCAGAAGCAGTGATCGGCTTTTGCAACATGCGGAGATGCGCAGAGTGGCAGCATGCGTTACAGTTGCATGCAGAGGGAAACCAAACCCAAAACACAGCGTGCGCGCGCGCGCGCGCGCGTGTGTGTGTGTGTGTGTGTGTGCGTGCCTGCTCTGTTCAATGTTCGGCTGACTTCTCAAGGCGTGAGGACTGAGTCCCCGAATTCTTTGGCTGCTCAAACCCCTGGCCCGCGCGCAGGAATCACACTGCTAGCAAGGCCTCGGCACGCAGCCCTCCGACACTCAACCAAAAAAGTTCTGAAAGCAAAGGTCCTCCCATTGCACAACACTCCAAAACTTCCTCGATGAAATCACAAAGATGTTGGGTGCCTCCTCGATGCTGGCACCCTCAGGCTTGAGGACCTGTATCCCTGCCTTGGCGGCTTTCTCCTGGAGGCTGTTTCCATGGTCTTGGCAGGTAAAGATGGCTCCTCCGGTTTTGACATCAAGCCGCAGAAGCTCAGTCCTCGATAGCTTGCAGCGGTGTTTTGGCAGACGAATCTGGTTGTACAAAGCCAGAGCCTCCGGTGCGGTGTGCCACGACTTCGCCACGCTCTCAAAGCTGAAACGCAATTGTGAGAACAGTTGTGACTTTTGGCTCACAGAATGTACAGAAACTTCCGTCCTTCTTACAAGCCCAAGACAAGCTGACGGCCTTTGCCCACGAAAGTGCGGTGTGTCTCGTCTGCCGAAGCATTCCCAACGACTGCGATCCTGCAGGCTTGCTGCTGTTCATGTGGCCAATCACTGCGTCGACTGCTGCCATCAATGTAAACAAACAGAACCCTCCTGTGAATCTTTCTTTTGTCCAATGGCAAGAGGCTGTTTCCATTCTTCAAGAGAACAATGGATGACCTCCGCTGTCAACACGCCATACCGGTCGGCATGTGTGTTGCAAAAAGCATGCCGCATTTCACCACAACATAAACCCGCACCGACACACCCTGTTGGGAATGAGCACCGGTTGATGACAAAAATTATAGTGAGAAGACAGAAAACTGTACTGAACAGGGGCCAATCTGTTTCAGCTTAAGCAAAGCCACCCGATCAGGCTGCTTATCTCCCCCCTGTAATTCCTGAGCTCAAAATCCTAGACGTGACCTGCAGACAACCCACACACGCACACAAGTCACTTACTCACTGTTTGGTCAGTTGCCGCCAAAGTATATGTCGTAGCTATCCTGACGTCAGCCGAGTGGTCCACTCCGTGCCCCAGCTGTCAAGCTTGCTGCCCCGTCGTGAGTGCATGCTGTGCCGACCTAGATGCAATGTCAGCAAGCATGCTTGAGCACACGAAAATGCGGTCTATGAGGGCAGCCGCTTCGCGGTTTGCCCACGTCGTATCGGAGCTCGGAGAATGAACTAACAAATGGAATCGACAAAAATGCGACCCCCCACCCTTTACGAGTAGTTGTGGAGCGCTTATTGCTTTGTAGTGGCTCGACCCAAAGTCTCCACCGGTGTACGTTGGCCACCAAATCAGTTTTGGTCGGAGCATGATCTGCCCATTGCAAGGCTCGGCCGTAAAAGGAAACGACATCTTCGTCATCGCCTACACCAATGACTGAAGCACCAGATCGAAACTCTCTGACAATTGCGAGGATTCCCACCAGGGTCCTCAATTGTTGTTCCGAGGCACCTAGGGTACCACCGATTGGTCTGCTCAAATTGAACCTGGCAACCCGGCGACTGGAAACTCCCAGATGTTCACAACCTCCTCAGCTAAAGCAAAGTGCTTTGTATCTTACTGAAATTCGCAAGTAATGCGAGCAGCAACAGTTAGACCTTGCAACAAGCGGGTGGGCGTGCTTTCTTTTGAAATAAGAAGCTTCACAACTGCGGTGACTTCGGCATTGCCGATTTGCCCCGGACCACAACCGAGGACACCACCAAGGCTACCAAGAGTCACCAAGGTAGGGCAAGAACAACGGAATGGGACCGAATCTTCAAGACCCCCACACACAAGCCCTAATCAGTTGAGCTCCGTTATATCTGGAGCCAAATGTTGACGATTGGCACCGATTGGCTTTCCGAACTACATGATCAGATACAGTAATGACTCCACCGTGTTTTCATAACTCCCCTATTCTGGTCTGCAGTGACTACTGTACGTTTCAATGCGCTGTGGAGTTGATTTGGCTCTAGCAGAGAATATGAGCACTCACCCAGCCTGTCTTCAAGAGAATCTCCAAGCGCAAAGTTTTCACGACGGCTGCTCCAAGAGAGCAATTTCAAAGCTGGAGGGGCTTTCGAGGACCAACACGTATTCACTTGTTGATCGTGACGCGTCAACGCAACCGGCAAAGTCAGAATCGCAGTAAAGGGCTAACGCAATTCGCAAGGAGGATCATGGATCGCTAAGATGATGGCATCATCAATGGAACTGAGGATATAGCTGCAAAGCCGATGAACCCGTAGGGTCATCGTTTCTGCTCCAATACAGTAAACCCCCAAACCCGGCTTGGCCAACGGCCAATGTGTCCCGGCAAGAGGGCCACCAACCGGTGGGAGTATGAAGGCAATCAGAAGGAACGGGGCGAGAAACAAAATGCTTTTCGTCCCAGCTGTGCACCCAGCATCGAAGGAAGGCCGCCCAGGGACCAAAGCCGGCGAAGATAAACAAACAAACAAAAACGAACCAAGAACAGGAGAAAACACACCAGCCACGGAGATGCGCCCCAAGAGTCCAGCCATGCTACCACCGGGTGCTGAAGCCAACGGAGGACCAGGGCCAGGGCCTCAGGGCCCCGGGCGACAAAAACTCTGAGCCCAGGATCTGCTACTCGGTATCAGCATAGACACAGCTAACACCGGAATTGCACGATCAGACGCAGAGTGACAGCTTTATCATGTCAATCAATGCAGATGGTGAGCTGCGCAAACATTCTATCTGCACCTGAGCCGGCTAGCTCTTTTCCCCAATCACTGTGGTACGATGTAGTACGCACACACAAACACACTGTGGTTGCAACATCCAGCTTAAAGAACCATGGTTAATGACGGTTAATTGTCGTGGGATCGAATCCAGCCCGCAACAGCCTGAAGCTCCAAGCAAAGTTCCAAGCTTGCCCTGCCACGCATCAGGCATGATTTCAAAGGAACCTGCAACCGGATGCACCAGAATCTGATTTGAGTGAGACTTCCAGTGAGGAGAAGTAACTTATGCTGCACGTGACCATTTCATGCTTCACGAAAGCGATCAAGTCTGAGGCCTGAGTCGCCAAATTGAGAAACTCCCAGCTGCCACTTGTCATGAGCAGTTTTATGCATAGAGGGTCCGGAGTGTTGTTGGGCAAGGTTGAGTTTCGTGGCGTGTTGCTCTCCCGCTCAGCGCAGCCAAGGCATTGTCCTTACGAGCATGTCTTGAGTAGTTCCAATGCTTTGGGCGCCAAATCAAAAAAGAGGAGGCCACATCCACTCATGCCAGATGCACATGCCATCTTGCGAGGGGGTTCCTTCGAATCAGCCCAACCTGTTCCCTCTCGCACGGCTGGAATCGAAAGTGTATCCAAAGCGCTTGCAGTACAACGGTTCTCTCACGAAACAAATTTCAATTCAAGTAGCCGTTTCAACGGCTGTCGTTGCTGCCGTGGAAACCAATTCGATAGGGTCCCCAGTGACATGACGCACATGGGGTCATTGTTTAGGGCACGGGTTTGAATTGGTAAAACACAGCGAACTTGCGCTTGGCATGGCTGCTGCTTTGAGCATTCGCCGCAGACAAACATTGCGACGAGCCCAGCCCCAATTCTGCATGGTACGTTTTGGGCTCGGCTTGTGGGCGCCCAATGGGCGCGCCAGATATTACTCCGCCTGTGGACGTCCGCAATCTTACTGGTATATCCAGTGCTACAACTCTACATGTGCTAATAATCGTGTCGTCTGCCCATGGATTGACTGTCAATGTAACAGCAGCTTGTGAAGACTGTAGAGGGCTTACAGCCTTACAGGGGTCTGGTACACAACGAGGCTGCACTCCATCATGGTGAAAACACTTTGGTCGGATTCTGTACTCCAAAGACCGTAGTGGCCCTTCAAGATTCTGGAAGCAAAGACGCTGTGCACTGTTACTTGGTTGGAGGCTGTACTCCGATGGCTTTACAGATACAAGAAGCAAGATGGAAGCGCGTCCCTGGTTTTCTGGATTGTCGGAGCCGGAAGCTGTACCTGTACTTCATGCTGACAAATTTCACACGTCGGACCTCCAAGCATTAGTGCGCTTACTCTTGTTGTTACCAGTTGGATTTTGGCACGTCTTTGGATGGCACCTCCAGGCTACAGGAGTCTGAACAACAAGAAAATCGGAGCCATCTTGTGAAGTTCTGAAATCAAGTAGCTGCACTGTGCTTGACATCCTTCATGTCGCGCCAACTGCGTTTCAATAGGAAGGAATGGTCAAAACATTGGCCGCTGGTGTCTTGAGTGTGCAAACTACTTCGGCTGCCAGAAGTTTTGAAGATTGAGAGGGCAAGTTGCACTGCATAAAACCCGTGAAGACATGATTTGAAGGTTGAAGCAATGGCGGTCGGCGTTGTGTTTGCAAAGCAGGTGGTAGTGAAGGTGGAGGTTGGCCGTGGGCAGCATGTCTCTCTGTGCAATCACCATCGCACAATTATGCAACATTAGCACTCCATCACCAAGATGAGACAGCTCATTTTGCCAACAACGACGAGGCCTTGAATCTTGCATCAGTACCCAATACCGATACCTCATACCAAACGGAGCTGAAGGAGAGAGAGAGAGAGAGAGAGAGAGAGCGAGAGAGAGAGAGAGAGATAGACAGAGCGAGAGAGAGAGAGAGAGAGACAGAGCGAGAGCGAGAGCGAAAGCGAGACGGCGACGTAGTAATTAAAGAGAAGCAATGTGGACCTCTCTGATGTGCCGAAAGGCCAGAGATACAGTCAACTCGCTGAATCAAAAAAATCCTGAACCCGAAAGGCAGAGATGGGTGTGACCCGTGCACACCCTCACAGACAAAGACCGTGGCGGGCGCTGCTCTGTGGCCGCATCATCCTGGCCTGAGGCCTGGACGTCGCAGCACGTAGAGCGATGTCCTCGTGGCGCTCGCCACGCGTCGTTGCTTTGGTCTGGTCAGACATCAGCTCCTCCGAGGTTCTTGGGGACGACATGTGCCAGGCGATGAAAGGCTGAGAAAGAAAGAAACGCCTGCGTGCAATTCGGAGGCGTGCATCCCATGTCTTGATCAAGTCGTAAACGGAAGATGGTTGTGAGGACATGGACAACTGCATTCTCCACCACTGACCTATCCTGGGCGAGGGGTCGGGAAAGTGACGGGTTTCGGAAAGGAGCGATGGGCCTGGAGTGGGCCTGGACTGAAAACGCCATGGGTCCAAAGTCTTGATCACAGAATCCGCGAGCACACCCACTTCGCCCACCACCGGCACCTCCGTCAGCAACACAAAACCAAAGCACTTCTCCACACATCAGAAAAGATGCCGCCTTCTTGATCAGGCCGGGCTGCTCTTGATCCAATCCTGCTCGCAGAGCATCCTGGCCAGTGCTGTTGAACACAAAGCTTCACAAGAAAAGTTGAAGCCCTTGAAACATCTGTCATCCTTCGTGTGCATTGCAGTCCAGTCAGACATGACAAATCCAGAAAAGCCCATTTTCCCACGCAGATCCTTGGGTGACGAAGTATTTCTTGAGTCGCTACGTGCATGTATTTGCATGTTTTGAGTATATAAATCTTGGCCGCGGGCAGCAGATAGGATCTCGGAATTCTGGCAAGCATATGTTCCGTTCACCTGCATGGCACATGCTGCGCACGAATACGCCAACAGGAAAGCAAACAAATAACTTGCCAAGCATTCACAGCCGTGCAACTTCAAGCCTCTGGCCTTGTTGTAGGCGCACATCACCGCGCCAACCCCAGCCTCTGCTGCTGCCCTGTCGGCCCATCACTCGTTCTGAACCGATTCGACAGGAATTTCTCGGCAATGGCAGCTTTGCTACGATCCGGCCTGAATGGTAAGTAATACAGCTCCCACTGGCTGCGTTCCTTAAATCACGCTTTGCCGCACGCGTCTTGTCCATTCGTTTTGACAATTTTCGGCAACAGATCAGGCAAACGCTGCATTTGCCAAAGAGAGTCGCTCATTCGGGCATCCATACTCATTCGATTCGTCTCCTGCTCCCACGACAGTGGCGCCAACAGCTAAGCGGCAGCGCAATGCTACTATTAAGTTCAAACGGCGACCGGCAAAAAAACTCGCAACACCTCCGGCCTGCTCATTGAATGCAAAATGCTTGGCAGTTGCGATGATGCCTTGGTCCTCGAAAAATTACGGCGATCAGGTGTAGCAGTCGAAAACCTCCACTGCATGTTGAAACTTGAAACGATGTGACACAAAGCCTCGTAGAGGCTGGCAATGCCAGTCTATGCTGAGCTAACGGGAACGTCGCTACATATTCATGATGAACCCTGAGTGCTCTTTCAGCAGCAGGAGGAGGACACTGATAACAGCAGTAATAACTGGCATTGGCTTACTATTGCTGTTGCTAGTTGTAGTATCAGGAGTAGTCGTAGGGCCACGCCCTCCTAACAACCACCTCTTTTCCCCGGTGGTTACAGTACTTTCGTGATGTCGTAATCCAATCCCAACAACCATTGTTGAGCGTGCGGGAAGGGGGACATGATGACGTACATTTTGAGAGCACATCCGTTTCACTCGGTATTTGAGATACTTTCGCATACTTTTGCGATGTCGTAGTCCTTTAAAGATGGTGATGACGTTGATGGGTTTAGGTGCCAGGTGGTTGGTAGGGCGGGGAGCGTGGCTAGTAGTAGTAGTAGTAGTAGTAGTAGTAGTAGTAGTAGTAGTAGTAGTAGTAGTAGTACTCGTCGTAGTAGTCGTAGTAGTAGTAGAAGTAGTAGTAGCAGCAGCAGCTTTTAGTACCGTGTGCAGGGGAACGAGGTCCGATACTTGACCAAGATTACACGGCAACCTTGCCCATCTTGGTTGTTTTGATGTTTTTTGGGGAGGGGGTGCAAGATTTGTGCGCAAGCTTGCCAAAAACCACTTACATTTGGACCGCTTGCACCACTTGGGGGGGGGATGGAGGGGCGGGGGGGGGGGGGGAATGCATACAGTGCGGCTCGTGCGCGCGCATGCTCACGTGCAATCCTCAGAGCCATACAGCACCATGACCATACCTCGTATTTGTAACCGCTGGCTTAGAAGTAAAATGATAAGTCGTCAATGACCTCGCAACAAGAACTCTGTTCCTAGTTCACTGATCTGGCTTCCGAACCCAGTCTTACGAAGCAGCCTTACAAGTTCACACCCTTAACGAGGCTTTTGCTTCCTCGACAGCAACATTGACTGACTGTTCTTTTCGTCACGACTGCAAGCCCGCTTCTGTGACTCGGTGCAGCAGGAAGCAGCGATGTCGGCAGTCCGACGAACAGCGATAATGCAATTAATCTGTCAATCAAGACATGACCGTACTATTCATGGTAGCGCAAGATTTGTGAACGTCTTGAATAATCTTGAATGATAATCGACCCATAGTGCTTCTGCTGTTAGGACGACGGCGACGGCAACAACAACAACCACTACTACTACCACCACTACCACGACCAATACTGCTACCACTACTACTGCTACTGCTGCTGCTGCTACTGCTACTGCTACTACTACTACTACTACTACTACTACTACTACTACTATTACTACTACTACTACTTCTTCAGTACTACCTTCTGCCACCACTAGTATTACCACTACGACGACGACTACTACTGCTACTGCTACTGCTACTGCTGGTACGACTACTACGACTGCGACTGCGACAACGACGACAACGACGACGACTACTACCACTACTACTCGCACGGCTACGACTACGACGACTACTACTTCTGCTGCTACTGCTACTGCTACTGCTACTGCTCCTGCTCCTGCTCCTGCTGCTGCTACCGCTACTGCTACTTCTGCTGCTGCTGCTGCTGCTGCTACTGCTACTACTGCTACTGCTGCTGCTGCTACTTCTACTACTACTACTACTATTTTTACGACGAGACTTCTGATCATTACTCACTACTGCTACGACTGGCACTACCACCTGTTCCGGCTAGTCGCCTTGACAGTGATTCTACTCCTCCGGGTCCCACTCCTGACGTGCTATGTCTGCTATACGGGGGTACCCTTCATCGGGTGATCGGGTTTTTTCCGTGAAAGCCCTGGTTCCCGAGGCCCTTGGAAGGCTAGGAAGCCGGACTGGTAGTCGAAGTCGTAGTCGCAGTAGCGAGTAGTAGCAGAAGCAGCAGGAGCAGGAGTAGTTTGCATGTTGGATATTTCGCGATTCGAGCTCTTTTTGTGCTTCGATGTTCTGAGCTCACAGCGATACCTGCGCGTGGACCGAATCGCCAGCGAAGCATGCTTCATGCTATGCGTATGGCACGAGCTAGCACCGTGAGGGATGTGCTGCTAGTGAGAAATGGTGCGCAGGACAAGACGTCTGTGGCAGAGTCTGTGGTGCCCCCGGAGCCCGCCTCACTATGTGTTACAATACAGGTCGACCGCACCACAGCAGGGTTCATGGAATGACGGTCCATGAAAGATCCCGCAAGCGCGTGGGCCCTTGGGCTAACCCAAGTTTGAAAACGTATTCCAATCCACACCTGCACCTGTCAAACCTAATGGACTTGCATACTAGTACTCGCACTCGTCTTCGTATGTGTGCGTCGTAGTCGTCGCGACCGCATGAATCCCGCCACGGTTGTGGAATTAGCAAGAGCATGTTGCAAGTGAAGAGTACAACTCATGGTTGAAAGTCCTGGACGCCCTTCACATATGCAGCTGTCAACTTTGCACCAAGGTGGCCATCCTGGAGACTTAGCACAAGTTCTTGGCACTTGCAAGCCCCTCTAGGTGCCTCGCCCGAGAGATACTCAAAGTTTCGACCGCCAGCTGCCGCACGGTGCACGTTGATAGAAGGCCCCAAAATGCAGTTGGCCCCCTTGCCCTGCAGCGGTTGTGTGCAGCAGTATGCCATCATGTCAGTCGAGCATGTGGCGGGCCTTGTATTCTGTACCAAGGGCACTTGCAACTAAGCGTACCATATCCTCATCCCATGTTGAAGCCAAAGCCAACATACCTCGGTAGAGCAGACAGAAACCACCACCCCGGAAGTTGGAGGAAACCGACGAGTTCCTGCACCACCACGCAGCAATGCACGCCGGCAATCCAAGGCACTCGGGAAAGACGTCGTGGTGCCGGCTGTGCCAACTTCCGTTGCACGGAAACCCTGCGCGGCATCCTGCATCTTGAGGGCCGGGATTTTGAACCTGATAGGTGTTACACTTTGCCGGGAGCAAGACGCGGCAAGATGTCTGAACTCCAGTTGCGGCAAGCATCCGTGGGATGGCCGGCGTGTTGCCAACATAATACCCTGGATCGGGGGAGCCGTACCATGCGAAATGGCTGCCTCACTCCGATGTGCGGATCACACTGCAGCTTTCAAGAGCATTGCTTGACGTGCAGCATCGTGCAGCCAGGCAAGCCAGGCAGCCTCGAACAAGATCGTAGAGCTCTTCGTTTGCGAGCTTGCTAACAACCTGTTTGGCCATAGCCCGCGCCTGCGCGCATGCGCATGCAAACCTCACGGCAGTGTGGGCACTTTGCCGGCTGGGCCTCCTCCCAGGGGCGTGTGCTTGGGGCTCGGAGCAGTTGTAGCTGCCTTCGCCAAACACCCGACAGCCCCATAATAGCGACTTGCAGCAAGTGTTGGACTTGGAATTGTTCAGGCAAAGGTTGAACTCCTGGGACTCATGATCGTAGTGCGATGCAAACACAAGTCACATTGCCAGCCTTTGTACTAAGTGCAAGTGGTGAGGTTCCTGCGCACAGGCAACGACGCCACTGAGGTTTCGGCGCTTATGGACTTTGATAGCCGGCGGGGGCACGGCATCATGGGCTAGACAGCCTCTTAGACAGGATAGAACAAAGCTGCGAAGCGCTTTTTAAGCTTCTGCTTCCTGCGAAAGGAACCCCTGGCCAGTTGGGTCTCGTTTCAATTAGTTAAACTGCCTCAATCAAAGTGTTGGAACTTTTGGCCGATTTCGCTGGTGCTGTTTCTTGTGCTTCTCAATACAGCTTTATATCAAAGCTTGTGCTTCTTCTGGTGTTCAAGTTTGTGCTCATGATTGTGTTTTTCTTGTGCTCAATTTTGTGCTCATGATTGTGCTTTTGCTGGTTCTCAATTTTGTGCTTATGATTGTTCTTTTCTGGTGCTCAATCTGTGCTCATACTTGTGCCTTTTCTGGTGCTCAATTTTGCGCTCATGATTGTGCTTTTTCTGGTGCTCAATTTTGTGCTCATTGTCATTCCGGGCTTCTTCGACACGCATCCCGCATTGTGAAGCTGCGGCCTGTGCTTCTTCTGGACAGACCCGGCAGCCGTGGGCCCCGCCCCAAACTACCGGGAGCGAAACAGCCCGAGTTTGCGCCTATATGGTCAGGCGTCTGGCGTTCCCAGCCTCCCCCCCCCCCCCAATGGTATGGTCTGACAGGGGTGGGGGGGGCAACCTTAACTTGTACTTTTAAAACGCTACACCCAGCCCTAAACCCCACCTAACTGCAGGCTCTAAGCCTAAAGCAGAGCATACACCGCAAATCCTCCCTAAGCCCTTCTCGACTCGAAGCCTTATACCTTGTAGCCGTAAACCCAAAACTCAAAAGCTTAAGCTAAACCCTAAACCCCAAAACCCCACAACCACCCCACAGGGGGAAGAGGAACCCCACACCCCACACCACAGGGGAGGGGGGGGCCCTACCCTATATCCGGACCATTGACCTTTGGGGGGGAGGGGGGGGGGGGCTGCGGAGCGTGACCATATATAGGCTTCTTCTGTACAGACCCGGAAACCCCAGGCCTAAACTCCGAACCCTGAAAAGCTTGCCCTAAACTCTAAGCCCTGGCCCGAAACCCAGAAACCCTGAGACCCACATTCCAGAAGCCACATCAGCCCTGACCATGCCCACCCAAGCGACGCCAGTCCCACGGTGAATGTTTCTGAAGTGTGATCAGGTTGCTAAGATTTAATCCATTGGGGCCTTCAAACCCTGGTGCTCATTTCTGCCTGTGTGTTGTATAAGGAACCTTGATGTAACTATTAGTGGATAGGGTGGGATCCCAAGATATCACTTACATATCTTTCATGGAGACCAACTCCAGGTCCCAGGTCTCGCTAGGTCGGCCCTTGGGTTTCTGGAGCCCGAACCTGTCGTAGAGGGCCTGAACCGCAGCTTTGAGTCGCCGTCGCTTTCGCGCACGCGGGGTCCCGGTTGCCAGTTGTTGGGCTTCGTTGGTGAAGGGGCCGTCGGCACTGGCTAGGGGCCTGGGGCTGAGTCTGCGCATGATGGGCAGGGCTCCTGTCGCGCCTTCGGTGGTGGCAGTGCTCCCTGCTGCATTACGTCGGGTGTGGAGAGCAGGTCACTGTCCAGAGTGTTGCTGTTGGCTGGTCGCCTCCGTGTTGGCTTCTTGCGGGAGCGCAGTCGTGCGCAGCCTGCAAGTAACGCAGTCCAACAATGGAAGCGCGATCTGATCAACCGCACATGCCCATCATGAGCAAAGCTGGGCCCCTTGAGCCAACGGAATTAGAACAAGACCGGTTATGGGGGAAGATTGGACTTCATATTCTTCGTTCTCTTCAACATGCAGGGCTGCAGCAATCTGACAATTCTGACAACGCATACACATCAGTTCAGCCATACGGTAATATCTCGCAGGCATTCAGTCACCATGTCGGTCGATCAAGTCTGTATGTTTGGCTGGGTGCTTGTTTGCTTGCTAAGCTAGCTTGCCTGTTTGACGGCTTGTTTGCATGCGGGGGATTCGCTGATGCAGGGCTGCAGTCGTGGCTGCTGTCGCAGTATGTACACTTCGTGCATATTCGTGCAACATGTTCTGCAGACTTCGCGATGCTCTTGAACCAATTGCTCACATTGATGTGTGCTGTGCAGTCCTCGCACACTTCTGGCTCTGCTTTGGCCAGAATCACCGCAAAGATCGCGAAGCGTCGAAAAGCCATTCGCTTGCCTGCAGCAAAATTCATTACTTCAACCAGGTTTGTAAAAGTCCATGCGCGATTCAGGTCAAGACCCTGATCGCACGCTGCAGATCGATGCAAAGCTACCGATGGAAATGGACAAACAGCTGCTGCACCCGATGTCAAACGAACGGATATGCCTGCTCCTTCCTCTTCCTTAACCAGTAGCTGCAGCTTGAAACCCGGCCTGTCATGGAGAACGTTTCGCTGGTCGAGCTGAGGGTTTGAGCCGCGGCAGCTGGCGGAAGCACATGAAGACGAATTGGCATCATACTATACCGACATCGATAACTTGCCTGCGAGTTTAGTCCGCTCGAGCAGGACTAGGGAAGTTGAGAAATGGGAGCACGCCGCTTTAAGGCACCATAGAAAGTGTGACACAGCGGCCCGAGGCTCGCGAGGGAAAAGGCTAACAAAGGCAACTGAAGAAAAAGCCAAGGTGTTGTAGAATAGTGCACGGTGGTTGTGCCACGGGAAAAATCGCTTTATAGAAACTTCGTTCCAGGCCACTGCTCTTCAGCCTAGAACGCTTCAGAGTTGCTCATCTTGTGCGCGGACCGCTCAAGATCGTGATAGCATGAGATAGCTGCAAATGGGGCACTAGGTTTAAGCTGAGATGACTTCGTGTGCTCGTTTCTTCAATCATTTTGTCCTTCTTTTGGGGTCATCTTTAGTTTGGAAAAGTGTTAACTCGAGTACTGTTCTTTCAATACTCTCCCGCGTGTCATGTGCCTGCGTACTTCCGTTCGTGGCAGCATGCAGCAACTACATGACCAATCAGGCGAAAATAAACGCAAACTACCAGTTGTGTGCCTGGCGCTGGTACGCTGACCTCTTCCTCGCCAGGACGGCGGACTTCAACAATCAATGCCGAGTGTAGCAAAGCTTTCAATGGCCGAGCATCTGGATGCGCTTTGCACTGGTGAATCAAATCGTTGATGGAAGCAGGGGGCGCAGGCCTCGTCTTCAAGTCAGTCGAGAAAGCATCAATGAAGGCAATGGATTGACTAGATCTGGGCTGTTAGCTTGCAGTCGCCAGAGAACGAAACTCGCTTGCTCTGAGAGTTTGACCTGTCAGACATGCATGTGTACTAAGCTCGTACAATCTCGTACAGATGTCATGCAATGCCACGCAGGCGGGATGTTTGCTGATGGTGGGATGTCAGGGAACGAAAGCTAGACTGGAGGACTAGGCTGGAGGGACGGCAAACGACAAGAGCTGGCGAGGCGGGCTCCAAGCATCATCACATCCAAACCACATCGAAAACGGAAGGCACTGACGAGGCGAGCAATCAGCAACGCAAAGGAAAAAGTTGGCGAGGCGGGCTCCAAGCATCATCACATGCAACCAGAACCGCATCAGCAAAACGTAAGGGAACCAGAGATGGCATCACCTCAAGCATCCTCAAGCACATCCAACCACATCAATAAATCAGCAGCAAACGGAGCAAAACAAGGGGATGGGGGGGCAATATCAATTCTTTAACTGCTTACGCACATAGAAACGAAAGCCTCGCTGCGCTAGCTTTCCTGATTTGTCGGCCTGTTTTGGGGATACCTCGTTCGGATTCCTGGACTGGTTACTCCTCGTACATCCTCATACCATGCGTGTAGAAAGACACACATGCAGGCATCGCATCCGAAGGCTCTCATTACGTGTAGCACGCCCATGCCCTTACTTTCCATGCACCCGAGAGAGCGCTCACTTGACCTGCTTGACGACGGCTTCAGGAGAGAACTGACGGTGTCATCGAATCTAGTTGCGCAAGTATTGCAGCAAAACGCCCTGGATTGGCTCCGCCACACCTTTCTCGTGATCGGGATGTGCGCAAGATTGACCGGGTTCGACCTGTGGCGTTCTACGTAATTGTGCTCCCTGCACTGCAAAAGCTACGCCTGCCGATGCACAGAAGGGACTCTGGCTCATGACTCATCTCATGAGCCTTGTTGTGACTCAGGTCGAGAGATGGTCTCAGGGTATGGTCCATGGCATTGGTGCAAAAACTACAGCCTCACCAACAAATCTGACCTGGGCAGAGTCCACCCTCGGTAGCGGCGGAAGTCCGCACCTGCAAAAGAAGTCAGTCCATACAGAGTATCTCAGTGAGCACGTTTTGTGGATGTATACTGGCGTAGAACATCACTACATCGGCAGTGCTTTCGTTCCAATCGCACGAGGACAGCGGCCACTGCCTGAACGATGTCGAATCTGGGCTTGCGTCCCTAGCCTCTCGACGTGACGAATGTCTTCCTCACTCTGTAGCAGGAGCCACATGCCCGAAAATCAAGCAACGCCTCTATGGCGATAGTGCTGGATGGTCGAGGCGGCCGGCACGAAGCGGCTGCCTTCGCCGGCATTTTGCAAGCTAACGAAAATCACAATCCAAGAACCTGAGCATGCCACTCGCAAGTGGCCGTTTCCACTGCGAGGAGTGGCCCTGTTCTGAAGAGAAGAGCATGTAACTTGTGCTCAAATCTTAAATCTGCTTGTACATGCATATCGGGCTGAGCGTGCACTTGCCTTTCGGGGTCGGTTCGAAGCGAGAACCAGGACAAAGCGGGTTCGGCACTGCACTGTTTAACTTGCAAGCTGGCAAGACTAAGAGCTCCAATGACAAACTTTGCCCAGCGAGGCCACGTCACTGGAGTGGATTCAGTGGCTGATCACCCCTGTACACCGTCAGACAACCGTCGTTCATCCGACATTGCTTTGCGCTCCTATCCGTGCGAGATACCGTTGGTATGTCGCTATTTGTCTGAGCGGCTGGAATGCATGGAAATGACATGCTGGAAGGTTGGAAGATGACACGTCGAATTTCTTGCGATTCATGAGGAGTTCGGCCAGTGCAATCTGCTAAAGCATCACCCCCCCCGCACACTTCATCCGTCACTGTACAAGGCATATGGCTTCCTGTCCAGCTCTTAAGCAACACTGAAAGTCCTCTCGAATGTGCCCGTAGCAGCGTAGGACTCTCCACAGAAAGTCATTATTCACTGTGCACAAGTTTACCAATACGTCGTCTTTCTGATGCGTTGCGGGAAAATTGTGAACATGATGTGCCTTTCGAGGACGCTGCCATCAAATCGTTCAGCAAACATTTGCATGCGCAGTTGCCACACAGAGAATGTCTGACCAATTCTCGTAGCTTGTGCATTCCATAGGGTACAGCCGCCCCACAAGAGGTGTTGCTTATCGTGTCAAGCATATTCAAGCATTTACGCGAGCGGGACCCCCGTGTTCATCTTCAATAAATCTTATAGCAATGTTTGGCACAAAAGTGGAAGTTTAGTTTTCACACCGAACCTCCACCCAATTAGTTTTAGACCTGATCTGAAGTGTACCTGTCGCGACATAGCCACACGATTCAATTGCATGCAGCTGCCAAGCACAGACTACACAAAGCGTCAAACGTCAAAGGCAAAATCATTGCGTGTTTGGCTAGTTGAGTGTTGTATGCGTGGACTTTTCCCGAATACATGGGCAAAGAGGGTCACCCCTTTCAATTTGCAGGGGGGCAGCGGCGCATCTCTCTATGTTGCCCAACGAAGCTGCGAGAGATGTGGTGGATCAGAAGGCAAGCCACAGTCTTGCTTTTTGGACCTGCAGGAAATTGGATGGGCCACCTTGTGGCATCCCAAACTCGGGAAACGCATCGGCCTCGTGTGGCATCCAAGACTAAACTACATACATCAACATGCAACACCTCGCCCTGCCTTGCTTTGCTGATTCTCGACTTCTTCCCTATGCCGAATCCGCCAGTGTGCTTCAGAGTGGGCCGGAGACTCCACAGCAGCGGCTTTCCGTCATGGTGCCGTGGTGGCCCTCCGGATCCCTCCGGGGTAACTGGCCAGGAACCAGCATTGGGCTGATTTTGGGGCTGACGGGCTGGCAATGTCGTGGTACATCCGCGGCTAGTGCACAGGCGCTGCCTGTTCTGCCGTCCATATTTTAGCTCTTCTGTCTCAGGGAATGCATGTGAAGTGCATGTGCAGCTGACATGAGTGCAGTTGCGGTCTTTTACGGGTAGTGCGAGTGAATTGCCGCTTCCTCGGAAGCAAATCGGCACTCTCCTTCTCTTCTTGCATCTCTACCCCCTAGGACCATAAAACCTTTTCGAAGTCCTCGAAGGGCTTGTGACCTCCAGTGCTATTGCTCCTGGCTTCGTGCACAGCAGTAGTCACTCCGTTCCTGGGTCTTTGCTGGCAGCTGGAAGGAGTGTACTAACCCTATAGACCCAAGATGACAACACACGGCGATTACAACGTCAATACGTGTGTTCCTTTGACTCTGCTGCGGCTGCGAGAAGCCAACAGCAGGTGGGGGCCCGCTTTACGCGGGCTGTGCAGACGGGCCAGCGCGGCTTTCATCCGGGCTCTCATGGCCTCCCAGGCCTTCTTGGCGGCCCCGCCCAAATCATCTCGTCATCTCGGTGATTGCTTCCACGTGCACAAGACGCCTGGCGTCTTCTTCACGAGCATCTCCCAGCGGCCAGCCAAAGCGACGAGCCAACGGATCTGCAGGTGGGTCACGGCTTGCGCAACCCGGTGAGAGGACCGAGCCCATCATGACTGCACGCGTGGCCCCCGTAGTGCCATGGAAGACCTCACGCACTTTCTTCATCCTCGCACTGTCTTACTCACAATCTTGTAAGTCTTGTGCAGCATGGTGCCCACTTTCAACGAACTCGTGGAATTTCTGCCAGCGCCATCCTTCTCTGAGACCGTGAGCCAAGTGGCCTCTGAAGCTGGCAGACCAGACGGGCGCGCTCGGCAGAGCGAGGCCCAAGCCGTTGTGGTACCAGGGCCTGTGTCCTTGCTGAAGCCACCCAGAGTCGCCAGTTTCGCCAGACTGGTGCTGGCGGTGGGCCTCACCGCCCCCAGCTCCGTGAGGAGCTTCGGAAGAGCATACATCCGTATCATCTGCAATCGAAAGGCGCGGCTGCCCGGCAAAAGGCCGATGCGGCGCGCCATGGCCTTGCTGAGAGCAGACGCTCCATTTTTTTTTGCTGTGCATAATCCGACCCTTACTAGGTTGACTAACAACTCCCAAAACAACGGCCGCCTCTGCTACGTTAGGGAGGAGAATGGGGTCAGCCGGCTGCTGGTGGGCTAATTACCAGCGCCTGGTTTTGGGCGGCGCTGTGGCAAACAAGCTGGGTCTTATCCGGGTGCTCCTGAATAACTCCTTAAGACC